ACACGAAATTGGGTGAATACATCCCAAAAATTACAGTTTAAAATAAAAAAAAGGAATTTCCCGATTTGCCATCGCTAGGCTCACATCTATTCCGGGTAGAAGTGTGTGATTTGAGAGTATTTTAATTGTCGATCCTAATTTCTAAAACTATCATGGGCTCAGATAATTTGTACAGAATGTATGCTTCATTGGCTTGAATTGATTGCAAGAATGGTACTCTGCTCCAAGAATTTCAGTCGATTGGTAGGGGCACAAATGCCAAAAAATGAATATGCTGATGGGATCAAAATGAGAAGCTCATCATCATCAAGCACTTTTGTGCAAAATAAAGGCAAGCCAACTCTTCATTTTTGGGAAAAGTTGGTAAGAATTTCTGCCAAAAGGAATATGAATAGGACCGCTTTGGAGTGAAGTGTGTGTTGGAGTCTCTTGCAAAAATGTATTCCCATCAATTTTTCCTTCAAACTGAAAAGGTATGTTTATCGAAACCCGACATTTCTTCATGGTTAACCGTGATACTTTTACGCGATTCCATCGAATGTTGATGCAGAAAGAGCAGAAAACTGTCTCAATTCGATGTGTTTTCACGAGTTTAGCCTAAAAAAACATTTTTGTAAACAACATTTTGTTGACATAAACCTCTTTTTCATTGATTTCAGTGGTATCTCGCCCGGTTACTCGGAGTTCATGAGGATGTGTGCATCATCATCAAGCACTTTTGTGTAAAATGAAGGCAAGCCAACTCTTCATTTTTGGGAAAAGTTGGTAAGAATTTTCGCCAAAAGGAATATGAAGAAGGACCGCTTTGGAGTGAAGAGTGTTGGAGTCTCTTGCAAAAATGTATTCCCATCAATTTTCCCTAAAAATCCAAAAGTTATGTTTATCGAAACCCGACATTTCTTCACGTTTAACCGTGATACTTTTACGCGATGCCATCGAATGTTGATGCAGAAAGAGCAGAAAACTGTCTCAATTCGATGTGTTTTCACGAGTTTAGCCTAAAAAAACATTTTTGTAAACAACATTTTGTTGACATAAACCTCTTTTTCACTGATTTCAGTGTTATCTCGCCCGGTTACTCGGAGCTCATGAGGATGTGTGCATTTGATGTATTCAACGATGCCGTCCTATCAAGCCGTAGACCGGCAGATTGGCAGTAAACAGGACCTACCTTCCACGATGAGTTGACAGGAGACCTCGGCTCGTCCGCCCAGCGTACGAACCTCGCAGCGATAGGTACCCTCGTCCTCTTCCGTGGCTCGAGCGATGCGCAACGCCAGCTCGTCTCCACGCCGCTCGAGGTTGACGTAGGCGTCTCTGGCTCCGGACGTGGGGATGCGGATCCCGTTGTGGTACCAGATCACCTCGAGCTCGGTAGAAGGCTTGTCTGCCGTTTCGGTGGGAGTATCGAGTCTGGCCAGTGGCTCCAGTCGGCAGTGAAGATGTACCGGTTCGCCGACCAGCACAGTCGTCGGCCTCAGCTCCTCGGCGAACTGAGGCACAGAGTGCACTTCCAGTTGGCCTGAACGTCGGAGACAAATGAAAGCGTCAGAAAGCATTTTTTGAGAGACTCGAACCGGTCGTCGGATGCGGAAATACTTGCCTCGGTATGCGTCAGTTGAAGGCAACAATTTGACTTTAACTAATTATTCTGCAACTGTCGACAAGTGCATCCAACAAAAGGAGAATTAGGTACAGTACAGAAATGGAATTTTGCAAGCAAATCTATTGGCTGAGATCATCTCGAGCTCGAACTCGGATTGGGGAAGAATTGTAAAAATGCTGTACTTGGAGCCGACATTCCAATCCGAAGGAAAGGTCGGTCGAAAAGGATTCATAACGTGGCCTCAACGGAAACGGAAACATGATCGAATCTCGTGTAATGAAGACTGTTGACATGTGCTTAGTGTGCTTGTGATTTCTCAAAGAGGCATCGCGTCGTTTGGTTGGCAACAGCAAACTTATTTCATATGCTCGCCGATGAGTCAAGCTAAGTTATCCACAGAAAAAGGTGTGTTTCACACACAAATAAACTAGAAGACGATCAGCTGTCGATTGGCTTTACAGGAACATTCGTGCTGACGCTGTTTCCGAGGCAATCTCACTCGATTCCGGTGAAAAGGTGACAAGCTTTTATCAGTCATATGACGAATATCATCAGAGTAAAAGTATCC